AGATTTAAATTATGAAGTAATGTTTTGTTTATTATATTACATTTTAATTTATTTTTGGGTCCATTGGCATCCAAATCTTAACAAAACACTCAAATAAGTGAGGCTAAATTCGGATAAAACTGTAACACTATTGCTTCTACCGGCTCTCCGGTTAGGGTTTTCTTCCCTGTGGAAGTTCGCCGATAATTACCGGTTTCCGGTTAAATCTTTCTTATCGCCAGATTATCCTTTGTAATTGTAATCCTTTTTCCTCTCTATCTCACCTTTTCCCCAATTCTCGATCTTAACCTATCTCCTCTTTGCTCGCTCTTACTGCTCTAATCGATTTCTCTCGCTATGCAAGAAGATTTAACACATCGCTTGCAAAGATTCTCCCTCTCCCAGAAAGAGGAAAACATTACTGATCTAGACCTCAGTGATATTCGCATAAGTGCAGAAGAATGCAAGAAGAGCCTTTTTGGTAAAATCGTTGGCGACCGGAAAGCCCATATCTTTGGGCTCAAAAGAACCATGGAACAAGTCTGGCAACTTAAACAGCCCCTTACGATCAGAGAAATTGAACCCAGCTTCTTCCAATTCATTTTCGATTCTGAATCAGAGAAATCCAAAGTGGTAGCGGGGAGGAATTGGTCATTTGAAAATCAATATTTAATTCTAAAGGAGTGGCAAGAAGATTTATCTGCAGACCATGATTGCTTCAAGGAATTGGATATGTGGGTTCAAGTAAGTAACGTTCCCCTAAACTGGCTCTGCTCTGAAGTAGGCTTAAAAATTGGTAAATCCTTCAAGAGGGTGAAGAATGTCACTATTTGCTCTGGTTCGGGGAATTGTGGTAGATATCTCAGGCTGCTAGTTACCGTCGATCTGACTGAACCTCTCTTGCGATGTACGAGTATAAAATTAGGGGAGAAAGTCAGGCGAATAGAGTTTAAATATGAGAAATTGATTAATCTCTGTTATTATTGCGGTCGAATTGGTCATCTTGATAGAACATGTGGCCTCAGAATGGATGATATTGCCAAGGGCGTTCTTAACGAAGGTCAATACGGTGACTGGCTAAAAGCAACGGAAGGGACTTACTCTCCGAGGCCAAACAGACCTTCAGACACAATGCTTATGCCCAATGCAAATACCAGTCCTCAAGGACTTTCCCCAACTGGCAACCGGCAGGAAGCAGGTACTAGCAACTCCGCTGAGCAATCAAAGGAGCAGAATGATGTGTTACCCAAGGCTCTAATGGCTAGCAATTCTGGCCAACTATCCAGTAACATTAAAGCCACAACAAGTCCATCTCAGCAAAAAGTTTTCCTTCTCCAATTCAATAACAATGAAGGAATCACTGAAAATGCCCAAATGATGGATTTCTCTCAGTCCTCTGCTCAGCAGCCTACTGAAGAAGATTGCAACAAAAACTCACAGGCTTTGAAAAGAAAATGGACAAGAAAACAGCCTAAACCTACTGGTGCCAGCTCCACTCCTAATCCTCAAGAAAAATCCTCATCTCAAGAAGCTGGGAAAAGAAACAGACAAGAAGACATGAACCCCCACAGCCCCTCAGTACCCGCAGATTTCAAAGACATCTCAAGCAAGAAGCAAAAGCTCATTACTGCACAGGTGGAGGAAGCCAGCCTTAAGTGGCCCCAGGGTGAACAATGACAGCTATGGTGTGGAACTGTAGAGGTCTGGGTGGGCCCTCTACAGTTCCCCAGTTGAAGGAATCTTTGAGATCCTACCACCCAAACTTTACTTTTTTATGTGAAACCAGAAAATCAAAAAAATTTATTACTACTGTTTGTCGAAATTTGGGAGTTGAGGATCGATGGGTTGTCTCTGACCCAATAAATAAAGGAGGAGGACTCCTGATGTTTTGGAATAAAGATGTTATCATTCATCAAATAATATGCCAATCCTTTTGCATAGAGGTTGAATTCAATCTTACTTCTAATGCTGAGAAATCGTGGTTTGTTTTTCTTTACCTCAGCCCATGCAAGAAAGTTAGAGTTGAGCAGTGGCAGTATCTCAGACAAGCCAAAGCAACTTGGGGCAGTAGCTGGGTGATAGCAGGTGACTGGAACGACATCTTATGTCAAGGAGAAAAGAATGGAGGACAATGCAGATCAGAGGCAAGTTTCTGGGGGTTTAGAGCTCTACTTGCTGACTTGGGAGGCCATGAAATCTATATGGAAGGCTACCCCTTTACATGGGGAAATAACAGATCAGCAGAGGGATACATTGAAGAAAAATTAGACAGAATGATAGCCTCACTTCAATGGCTTCATTCTCACCCTCAAGCAAAAGTTCTAAATGTTTTCAAAAGCGCATCAGATCACAATCTCCTACTGCTCCACATTGGTACTACTTCAGAATACAAGAAAAAATTCTTCACCTTTGATAAGAGGTGGCTGAAACAACCAGGCATCAAGGAGGAAATCAAAAAAGTCTGGGATCAGCCTAGTTCAGGCTCCCCTATGTTTAACCTCACTGCCAAAATTAAAGCCACAAGAGTAGCACTTCTTAAGTGGAGCAGAACCTTCAAAACAGAATCAGCCATCACTATTGAACAACTTACTGCTGAGATGAAGGGACTCAGAGAACAAGGAGGTGCAAGGAATTGGGAAAGATGGAATCATCTGAAGCAGAAACTAGATGAAGCCTACAAAAGTGAAGAATTATTTTGGAAGCAGAAATCCAGAATATTGTGGCTCCAGGAAGGGGACAAAAATACTACATTCTTCCATGCATTTACCCTTCAAAGAAGAAAGCACAATGCCATTTCCAGACTAGTAAAGGAGGATCAAACAGTATGC